AATTTTAAATCACCAATAAGTTTAAAATAAATAGCAGTGATAAATGTAGCTCTTACTCAGTTCATATAGACCATTTTGATCTTGGTTCAACTTATAATTCCAAAATACTTAAAATAGGAGCATTGTAAATTAATCCTATTCATTTGGTATAACAGAATCTTATTTCAGTGAATGGGAATCTAAAATTTGTTACTATTTTGAGACAGGATTTCACTCTATTGCCTTGGTAGAGTACAATGGTGTCATTCTGGCTCACTGTAACCTCAAACTCCTATGTTCAAGCAATTTGACTGCCTCAGCCTCCTAAGAAATACAGGCCTGTGCCACCATGTCCAGCTAATTTTTCTGTGTCTGTGTTTCGTTTTGTTTTTTTTGGTTTTTGGCGTTGGGGGTAGAGACTAGTTCTTGCTATGTTGTTCAGGCTGTCTTGAGCTCCTGGGCTTAAGCAATCCTCTTGCCTTAGCCTCTCAAAATGCTAGGATTACAGGCATGAGCCACTGCACCAGGCCAGAATCTAAAATTTAAATAGTTTACTACACGACAGAATTTGGGATAAGGGCTCTTTGACAATTTTACATCACAAGCGTGATCAACATTCCAGTGAGGCTTCTGTAGTGTTAGAACACATTTCTGAACAAAGGAAGAAGGGTAGAAAATTATCAATAAAAGCTTTGTTATTTTCAGGAACAATCATCAAAGTAATTTTTGGGTACTGTTATTCAAAAGAGAAAACAGTTTCCCTGACCATGATTCTGTTGTTAGTCCACCATCAGCCACTTTTAAAATAATGAAACATATATTAAGTAGCAAAAAAGTGATGTGTTCTTAAGAATATAGCAAGACTATAAAACATTAAGCAGCATTAGAGTTTAAAAAAATAAACAAATCATTGTTGAGAAACTTCATTAATGATTTATAAGAGAGGATGCACATCATGTTAATTAAATTTAAAGATGATGCTAAATTAGATGGTGTTGACAAAACCAATGAGGGCAGATAAAAGGGACCTAAAGTGGTTAGAAATATGGGCAGGAAATGAAATGTGATTCAACCTGGAAAAATGTAGCTAATACATCTGGGGAAAAATAATCAGAAACACAGCCATTCAATTGGCAGGATATACAGTACTTGGAAAGCTGTAATACCAAGAGACTTTGAGATGATAGTGGTAGCAAATTATATATGATCTCATAATGCAATGTAGCAGTAAAATCAGTCAATGAGATTTTAGTCTGTATATGCAAAAGCTTCACATCACGTAACTGGAAGATAAAAGTTATTTAGATGGTACTGCTGAGATCACATACTAGTTTGGGACACATACATGCTTCAAATAAGCAAATTCAGTAATGTTCAATCTGGAAAATAAATGTATCGTGGACTTCATACTTATAAAAAGAAAGATTAACAAAATATATATTGTTTGTTCATCTCTGAGTATAGCTATGACAACATTTTATAAATATTTGAAAGATGTAAACATCATAGAAATCAAGACATTTTTAAAGGTAGGATACGAGAGTTTATAGTTAAGTAATGGGATGAAATTAAGTAACGGAAATTTAAGACTGAATCCGGGAAATGTTTTCTGACAGTGAAATCTATTAGTCTCTGGAATGGAATCCCTAGAGAGGTTGGGGGAAGTCCATTGCTCTAGTCATTGGACTAGATCAAGGCTTGGACAACACATTTTTTTTTTTTAAAGTAAAAACTAATTTGAGCATTGTGCATTGGTGGGGATGCACACAATGACATTGTCAGTTCTCATCCAACTGTCTTATATGGTCTCAGACTTCTCTGACATGTTATGTTCTATCATTAAACAACTGCCCATTATTTTTTTAATAAATGCTTTTTCAAAGACCAAATTCATATTTTCCAGCTCATGGAATTCAATTTCCTGGATTATTACTATTTTTCTTCCAAGTCATAGGAATGCTTGAAAAGAAAAAACTCCTTCTTTTCCCTGTTGATGAGATATGGTCTTAAATATTCCAAACCTTTTGGGTCAAATCAGATGAGGAAGCTGAACTCTGAAGTCTCACTTACACCAGTGCATTGAAAACATATTTTTATTGCAGTTTTGCAGCCACAACTATGCAATATATAAAAATTCATTTACTTCCTTTTCTGGGTTAATCCACAGAGAGATTTTTACCAGATGGTGTCCTGGTGGTACTATTTACTTATAGCAAAGCAATATAACTGAGTCTGAAAAATATACAGTAAAGTATGTACTTCATTCCAACATTAAAACATTCTGTCAATTGTACTTCTAAATTATCTAGGCTAAAGTTTATCTGTAACTTTGTTCTGTGTCCTAACTGAGCAAAATGAATGTGGAAGGATATTACAAATGAAATTTTAGCCCCAAATGTAATTCTTCTTAGCAAAAGCAAAAACAAATAAACAAAAATTAACATTAAAACGTGTACCAGACTGTAAGCAAGAAGTAATTTTTTTCCTTATAAAAATGTTAAAAGATATAGGGCATACAATTTGCATTCTGTTACACGTAAGAAAAAAATTATGTATGTGTATGTGTATATATGTGTGTGTGTATGTATATATACTCAAAAACTTACAATTTAATGTATATGTATACACACACATACATATATACATATTTTAAATGTATTTAAGATTTAAATAGACATAAAGTGTATGTATTTTTAATGTATAGTCCTTAAACACATTTCACATTATTAGTCTCACTTATTATCTCCATAGAAAGAAATAAAATTATAAAGAGGCTCTTGTCCTAAAAGTACTTACCAGCTAGCTAGAGATAAATGTGTGAAAAACAGATGCTACATGTCATGCATGTCAGATATTTAATAAAAATATTTAGGTGAAAATGTGCAATTTGGGTAGAAGGTGACAAATAGATTTGTTTCAGTGGCACAGTCGGTTGGTAGCTAATAACAAATGATCTGGTGAAAATGGACTATAGAGTTGTGGTAGAATTATTAGCCAGGGTTTCCAGAGAAACAGAACCAAT